GTTACCAGTAGTGAGGATAGGCAAAAGGCCCTGGGCAGATCAAGAAATGCAGTCCTATTTGGGCAGGCAATATTCATCACTTGTTCCACAGGGCTTAAGACCAACCCAGAACAGGATGCCACCATGTTGATTAAAAGGAAAAACCAAAAATGCAAACATCAATTGAAATGGCCATTGGCTTTGCATTGCTACAGTCTGGAAAGCCCTGGCAGAGGATAAGCATAGCCATGACAAGATCTGTGTGACATGTGGTATGGAGCTTGCAGAGGGATGATGTGACCACCCTTGCTGCCAGCAACAGTGTAGGGGTGAGGAACCCCAAGATAAAGGATGCCTGCAGCTACCTGTGTCTCCCACACTCAGTTGCTCTCCACCAAAGGTGGCTTCTGGGTCTGAACCCAGACATGAGAGAGCCCGCAAACTGGCTCACATAAGCAGCTCTAGCCCAAGTATCAATGGTAGACAGTGGATAGCTCAAAATCCTGAATTTGTCCTGTATCCAATGTGAGTGAAAATCACCCTCAAATCAGTGAATGAGCATCATGCTGGTGGCCCAAATCATGAAAGAAATAATGCCCTGGCCAGTGGAAGCTTTGGCTCCCCAAGCCACCCTTCAGGAACCAGCATGGCTGTGCAGCCGTAGGCCACCCCACAGGTACCAGTCCCAGAGTTCCTGGAGCACCTGGCGGACCCCACACACATTGAGAGGGTAATATGCCTGGGAGGACTCTGAAGCGGAGACAGGGACTGAGGCCAACAAGGTTCTATCTAAGCTTACGGTGTCCCACCCAAAAAGGCCCTGCTGACCTAGTCCCCACCACCAGGGACAATAGAACATTTCAGGGCTGTCATCATCCTGTACCCATGCAGAACTAGGTTCGGGCTCTGTTGACCTGCTAGATGGTCCCAGACAGCCAAGGGATTTAGAACATTTGGAGGAAGTTTCTTCAATGAGTGTCTGGGTGCAAGGCCAGATTAGAAATCCCATGAAGTATATGTAGAGCAAGTCCACCAAGAGACAAAGAAAACTTGCTGCTTGGATGCAGGAAGTCCCCTTTTAGTCTCTGAATCTTCACTGCACTCTTGCCCTGGCATTCCATCAAACACCTCTTTCTAATATCTCTCCTATCTGCACCCCGCAACCCCACTTTGTTTTGGTTTAACCCATTTTTATTTTTGTTACTTACAAGCTAAGACAGCCCTACAACACTCAGAGACAGATTCTTAGCTTTGTAGGTTCAGAAACTCAACTTTACCATTTCTACCAGAGCTAATTAACCTCTTGATACAAACATGTTAAGAGGACCCAGAAGAAACTGATATATACCTCAGAATGCCAATTTATCAATCTACAATGAGAGCTTAGTCTGGAAGAATGACTTGTATGGATAATTCACTCTGGGAATTTTACCATGGTTGATTAAGTGTGTTTGAGAGAGAAGATAAAATCCTCAATCCAAGGGTAGTATGGTGAGTAAATAATTAGAATAAAGAGAATGGGTAGGATTTTTCTTTCAAGTTAGAATAATTTAAAGAAATTCCTTCTCTACTCTAGGAATATTTCTCTTTGAAAAGTCAGTTGTAATCCATGAACTCAAATAACCTTTCCTGGCCATTACCAGACATATTCATACATTTTGTTCACTGTCATCCTAGCTTTTATTGTAGATTTTTCTGTTGACATATGATTCTCCCAGAAAAGTCTTACTAACAACAGTTGATTAACTTTTGTTATATTAACTGCATGTCATTTATCATTATGCCTCACGTCCCCTTCCAGTCACCATCTCCTCCCCACTCTCAAGGGTAACCACTATCCTGGATTAGTTTTGCTGCTTCTGAACTTAATGTAAATGGAATTATATAGCATGTGCACTGGGAAAATAGGATAATTTAATCAGGACCCCTCACCTTAGGCCCAGTTGGGGGTGGTGCAGCACATTCTTTGTAAATTGTGTGTGTCGGGTGGAGTCAGTGCACTGTGCGGTGCTGCGATTTGGCTGGTGTCTGCCTTGGGCATCCACCATACACAGCCATGCTCTCCGACCTATGGCTTCCAAGGACCTGGTTGGTGGTTACCTAGCCCATAGACCTGCATGTGAGGGGTCTGGGGACCCAGCCTGGCGTGTGAAGAGTCTGGGGACCCAGCCTGGCATATGAGGCATCTGGGCATTCAGCCTGGCTTGTGAAGGGTTTGTGACCCAGTCTATGAACAGGCTTGAGGGATCTGTGAGCTCCAGACCCAGCCCTAGCTAAACAATGTGTCATTTTGTGTCTGGCTTTTTCAATTCAATATTGTATTTGTGAGTGATATACACACTGTTCAATGTGGTTACAATCTGTTATTCTAATTGTTCTATACAATATTCCCTTGTGTGAATATATGACTATTTATCCAGGCTACCTTTGATAAGCAAGTGGGAAGTTTCCAGTTTGGGATTGTTATGAATAGTGCAGCTATGAAAGTTATTATACATGTCTTCAGTGAACATATGTACATTTCTGTTGGGAATATACCTAGGAGTGGAATTTCAGCATCATAGTGCATGCATATGTTCAGATTTAATAGATTATGACAAACATTTTCCAAAACAGCTGTATCAATTGACATGTCTACCGGCAGTGTATGAGAATTCCAGTTGCTCTACATGCTCTCCAACACTTGACATTGTCTGATTTTTTCATTTTAGTCACTTTAATGCATGTATAGTCATATCACATTATGGTTTTAGGGTTGGCCAGTTAGCTCAGTTGGTTAGAGTGTGGTGCTGATAACACCAAAGTCCAGGGTTTGATCCCTGTACCAGCCAGAAAAAAGAAAAAAACTCAGCTGGTCATTATAGTTTTAATTTGCATTCCCCTGATTTGCAGTGTCAGCCAAGATGTAGTAAGCCCAGTATAACCTATCTTTTCCATTGATTACAGTGAAAAACTCAAGACAAATGACAAAAAGCAACTACCTGAGGACTCAAATGTAAATAGGAACAGGCAGATTGGGGCAAAGAATCAAAATTTAGAGAAATAATCTGTATGATTTTTTGTTTTTCCTATTTTCTCTCACAGCTTTGACCTGAGGCCCAACACCTAGTGAAACTGTGGTGGCAGCACAGGCTACAAAACCTAAGAGAAATGCCAAATTTCTAGCCAAATGAATGGCGAAGAGGGATTCCTGTGAGCCAGAAGTTTGTAGGAGAATACCTAGCTTCCCCCCCCACCCCAATTGTTCCCCCTCTAGGCATTAACCCAAGGGTAACGGCCTATGCTTGGACATCTGCAACACTAAGAAAAACCCCGTCTTCCTATACAAAGGAACTGGGAAAGAAGGGCTCTGTGGTCTGAAATGTGTGGAAGGAACACACATTTTTTTTCTCTTTTCTCTCACCACTTTGCCCCAGCGTAGGCCCTAGTCAACTTATGTAGCTATGTGGCAGGCAGCTAAAACTCAAAGAGAAATCTCATAGTTCTGGCAAGAGAAACAGGAAAAGGGTAATTTGCAAGAAAAAGCATAAGAAGAACATAAGAAAGGAGAGAGCTAAAGAAGGAAGTCCCTTAATTTTATTCATGAACCCACACAAGTTCCTGAACTGAGGATGTACAGGACAGACACAAAGCAGAATTGCAAACAATTTGTGAACTAAACTACAATTTAAGCTACTGCCCAAGTCCCAAAATAATCCCTGACTGTTGTATAGATAGGATAGCTCCAAGGCAGCACAGCAAAGGCTTTGAAGATGCAACTAATGGCAACAGTACTCACACAAGTAGAGAATGAAATTGTGATCTGAACCAAACTGGATTGATTGCTTCCTAAAACAAGACAAAAATATCAACATTCCCCAAAGGCTTTAACAGAACAGTCTATGCAACATAATACTTAAAATGTCCAGGATAAAATCCTCATTACATAATATAAAAGAACTGGAAAAATGAGACCAACTCTCAAGGGAAAATATAATCATCAGGTGCCAACTCCTAGATCACCAAGATGTTACAATTATCAAAGATTTTAAAGCAGCTGTTATAACCAGGAGATAGTTGAACAATTTCTCTCCTAAATGTATGCTTTATTCTAGAAAACTTCTTGCATTTAAGTATCAGAATCCATGCAAAAAAAAATGCTCATACTAGCGTTGTTTGTAATGGCAAAACCTGATTAATAGAAGGGATAAACTGTCACAAAACGGAATATCACCATTATATGGCAGTGAAAATAAAGGAACCACAGTTGCACGTAACTACATGAAACCACCTAGGATGAATTTAGAAGCATAATGTTGAATTAAAATAATATATAAAAGACTACATAACAATAAACTATCCTTACGTAGCTCAACAGTTTATCAAATTAAACATGCATGTACATAAACTAAGTTTTTACAAAGCAAGAGAATAAATCCAAAATACAGGAGAGTGTCATCTCTGGAAGAAGGTAATATTATGTGATCAGAAACGATACTGGTAATTTTAACAATATTGGCAACATCTTTGTTCTAAAATTACCGGTGTAGGTTCCCATGTGTATATTGCTTATCTGGGTGTATCAAAAACAACAGGTTTTTAAACGACATGCCATCTGCATAATGAAGGAAGAGAACTCCTTTTACTAATATGACTTCTCCAAAAACTTAAACTGACCCCACCATATTCCCTAAACGTACTCGGGTCAACCCGCCGTCCACGCCTCTGAACTGATCACAGTCACTTCCGCTCCCACCTCCCTAGCTCCGCCCATCTAAGCGGAAGTACTTTCTCTTGGGGTCCTCCCGCCTGTAGGGGGCTCTCCGAGGCTTCTAGTGCCACGAAGGCCTCCTGCCTGGGCTGTCCCTTCGGCGCCTGTTAGTTTAGCCATAACAAAGATATTTGCATTATCACTTTTTCGGTCAAAAAACAATCGCACAGGCATCTTAGTCTGGATAGTAACGTTCAAACTCAACCCCTGCCTTCTGACCTCATTATCAAATCCTGAAGCAGTAGTGGGCGGGAGTCAGGCGGTGTGGGGACAGCCCCGAGGTGCCGAAAGTCCCCGGCTCGCTTCCTCCTGTGAAGACGTCGCTGCGGGTGGCTGTGGTGGTGTCGTCCAACATGTCGACCAAGAATTTCCGAGTCAGTGACGGAGACTGGATTTGTCCTGATAAAAAGTGAGTTCATGAGGGGTCCCAAATTGGGGCAGGTTTTATCGATGGAGTCTTTCTCAGGTCGGTTCGGCATTTTCCGTTTTTACGATCTCCTCTCGTGCCTCAAGCCAGGTTGAGGCGGCGAACCGCAGGCTCCCGGGCGGGAAGGAGGCTCCCAGTCTTCTTCAGGAGAGACGTCTTTCGGAGAGCCTTTGTTTTGGATATGTCGCCAGCGTTTCCTCCACATTATCTCTCCAAGTAGTCTCTCTTTTTTGGGAGTGCGCGGTGGCCTGCCCTTTTGCCCCCACCCCTCACCCCGCCCAGGCCAGGTTTCAGCGATAGGAGATCTTCCGCGCCGGCCCAGCTTGGTGTTGGATCTGCCCCACGTGACTTTTCCCTACAGAACTTTATTCTTGTTCACGGAAAGGGTTGTTTTCTTGCCCTCGTCCATTTGCTTCTTGGAGTTCACCTCGTTTTGTTGTGGATTTTTAATCTAACTTTTCCTCCATATTATTTATTTTTCCCAAATCCTACCCCTCTTTGGTTTAGGAAATTCAGACTTTTTTTTTTTTCACTGACCCTTAGTTTCTTCACAGGAATTGAGCTTTTCGCCTCCTTAGGCCGAAAGGCAAGAGGCCAGTGTTTTTGCCTGCTCAGTCTTGAGGATGCCAGCAGTAGAGAAGCACGTGTATTGGTGGCTCTGCTTTTTGATATTGTGGCTAACGTCAATGTGCTCCAGTAAATTGTTAGTCAGATCTTACCGAAGGGTGCACAAGTAGTATACCTATTTGGAAATATATGGAAATTTTAATGCACAACTCATGTCAAATAAAAACCCTTATTTCTTGTCCCAGTTAGCCCCATGTTCATGGTAGTAAAGAACAAAATCTTTGGAACTTAGGTCTAGTTCCAGTTCTTTTACTTACAAACTAGATAAGTAGATTATTTAACTTTGCTAAAAAAAAAAAAATAGGGATAGAATTGCTCACTTATAATAAATATATGAAATAACATGGACTGTTTGTGTGTGTAGAGCAATGAAATGTGGCAAATACTAATTAGTAACTTTTGGTAGATTAATGTTAAGATGACCTAAAGGAACTCAAGTCTAACCATTATGTTGAATAGAGCAAGAGTTATGTGTTATGAATAGCATTGCTCTGAGTGGTAAGACATTATTGAAAACATTCAAAAGATGTAGAACAACTTCTGATTTTTGTGTAATTGCTCATCTGTAGAATAATGTGCTTTAGTGTGTCGTTAATGATAAGACACCCAAACATTTGAGGTAGGACTCTTAAGAGACTGCGTTTCAACTTATTTTCAAATATATGAATAGGCTGTTACTTATGCAATATATACAAACCCAGGAAACATTTTTAGAACATATTTTCAGTGCTTACTGGAGTCATAGGGAAGTTTTTAGAGAGGGAAATATAACCAAAAAACTATTTGGAGTGTTTCATTTTAGTGTCATCTCATATTTCACATCTTTATTTTATTCTAATATAACACCTTAAAAATCAGCTTTTTAAAATTTAAGCATTGCATGCTTTTACCAATATGTACATGCACTGCTAAGGTCACGTGAGTAAATTGATAATTTTTTAGTTTTAAGGTTTTTGAGTATAAACATAAAGCGATGCTGTATTGTTCCATATGTTCAGATTGTTGCTTGTGATTGTTGTGTCATTTTTTTCATCTAGTCTCAGAGGATTAGTAAATACCCCATAAAATTCAGTTTCCTTATAATTATTGAACCTATTTATATTTTAGTCAGTGCAACCCATCTTCCTTCTTTACTTACCATCTCACTTCGTACCTGTAAAAAGAGTGTTTTATCAAGATCCATCAAGCTCTCCCTGATTTATCAATTTTCTCTGTATGGTCTACCCTAGGATATTGTATTTCTTATAATATTTACCATATTTATGTATATGTCTTTTTTTTTTTGGTTCTTTTTGAGACCGGCCGGCCGCACTGCGCTCAGCCAGTGAGCGCAACAAGATCCATCAAGCTCTCCCTGATTTATCAATTTTCTCTGTATGGTCTACCCTAGGATATTGTATTTCTTATAATATTTACCATATTTATGTATATGTCTTTTTTTTTTTTGGTTCTTTTTGAGACCGGCCGGCCGCACCGCGCTCAGCCAGTGAGCGCACCAGTCATCCCTATATAGGATCCGAACCCACGGCAGGAGCACTGCTGCGCTCCCAGCGCTGCACTCTCCTGAGTGCGCCATGGGCTCGGCCCATTATATGTCTTACTATTTTCTGTACTGAGAGTTATTTTGGAGTGTAGTTTTTGTTTTTAAGCTCCCTGGTGTCTTGTCAGTAATTATTGAACTGGAGTCCAGTCTCACTTCAACTTTGTAGAGGGATTTCAGTATAATTGATTGTATGTGCCAATATTAGGACACCGAGGCAAAGAGATTCTGAGTGAGTTAACCAGGATAGCTTAACTAGTAAATGGAAGATTGGAATTTCTTATCCTGAATTTGTGACTCCAAATCTATTATCTTTTTCCACTAAGTTTTCAAAACTTTTTTATTCACTAAATTGTGGAGTTTTTTGTAGTTAATGTTGATGTTAACATGACTGAGATGAATCTAGACTCCAGGTATGTGGTGAGGACACATTAAAATTTGAAAATTTTACAGATTTGAAAGATATTTTTCTAAATGTTTTATTTTATTTTCAGATGTGGAAATGTAAACTTTGCTAGAAGAACCAGCTGTAATCGATGTGGTCGGGGTAAGTATTAGGAAGATTTTATTAATACTGTGTATACAGGTAACTTTTGTTTTCCCAGATTCATATTGCATTATTTTTCTGTTTTCAGAGAAAACAACTGAGGCCAAGATGATGAAAGCTGGTGGCACTGAAATAGGAAAGACACTTGCAGAAAAGAGCCGAGGTCTATTCAGTGCAAATGACTGGCAGTGTAAAACGTATGTATTTCAAATTATTGTCCACTCTTCCTTCTGTAGTAATCTATCCAGCTACTACTTGTTACTATTGTCAGTTCTTATTAGTCACATTGACAAGCCAGAGTAACTTTTTAAATCAAAGATCTCTTGATTGTTATTCAGCATGTATCTCATATTTAAGTATACTGTAAAGAAATTTCAAATTCTTTTTTTTTTTGCATTTTTTAATGGTAATATTTGTTACTGTGATGGATTGTTTATCCAGTGAACAAATGCTTAAGGTAATCTAATATCCGAAGGAGTGGGGAGATGTATTTAAAAGTATTAAGGCCTGTTTCTTTCTATTATTGAAAAATCTCAAAAATGTTTAGTCTCTACCATTAATATGAAATACACCACAAAATTTATTTTGCCTGTTTACAAAGTAATTTTAGAGTCATAAGGTACATGCTAGAAATAATTATTTCTAATTAGGTAGGTTTCTTAATATTTTTAATTTTCAAGTGTAGATTTAATTTTGTATTGATTTTCCAACTTCCATCTTTTCCTCTATGTAGACGATTCCTATATATGTGAAAGAGGATTAAATCAGAAAAGGGTCCCACATAAATTTCTGATCCTATTATTGTAGATAATAAAATTTGTATTGGAAAATTTTCCAGTAGCAGATTAAGTCACTATATTTGGTATGTTGTGGAACTCAGTGTTTGAGCTGACTTTGAAAAAAAAAAAAAATTATTTGGAGGGTATAACCTTATTTTTCTTTGAGGTAAATTGGGAGACTGAGAGATTTAGTGGAACCTAAAAAGTAATGGTTTTCTTTCTAAGCAATCAGACTGTATAGTTTTAATTTGTCACTTATTTCTCATTAAATTACAAAGGGACTCTCCATTTGTATATGTTTTGCTTCTCTTCTTCAACAGTTCAGTCTGGAGTTGGAACCCACATTCTCTCTTCAGACCAGAGTACATTTTCGTTTGTTTCTAATACCCCTTAATAAACATTGCTTTATGATTGTGATCTCTCCTAGTTTTTATTTTAACATTCTAGAATACCTAAAAATTTAGTATTTTTTTAGTATTGTGTTATGTCCTACTAATTTGATATTTTTCACTTCTAAAGTTGCAGTAATGTGAATTGGGCCAGAAGATCAGAGTGTAACATGTGTAATACTCCAAAGTATGCTAAATTAGAAGAAAGAACAGGTATGATACAACCACATTTTAATAAGTGATTTTAAAAGAACTAAAAATTGAATTCACAATTCAATTGATAGTTATATCACCATACTCATAAGAACAGAGTTATAATCAAGAATTCTGTCTATTCTGCTCTTAACAGTTTTTACTGGGATTTCTCCCTCCACCTCCCCAAAAAACCAAAAAAGTCTCGTTTCAAAATTTTACAATTTATAAAGTACAGCGTTAGACCACCTTCACTGTGTATTTGATTTCTGGAGATCAGAGACCCACTGATGAATGTTTTGGACCTAGGCCTTCCAAACTGCACCAGAAATTCTACTTTTATTCCAACCCTCTTTTCAAAAAATTTATATTCTCACCTGTGAGAACATTGTAACCTAGCATTCTAAGTAGAGATAGATAAATAGATGGGGGGTTTTTTTTTGTTTTTTTTTTTCCTTTTTGTCTTTTTTCGTGTCCGGCAACGGATTGCCACCCTTAGTGTCGTGCCCGTACCGGACCGGGACCAGCAACGGGATTGCAACCCTCGGTGTTGCTCCCACACCTCGCTCAGCCAGTGAGCAGGAAGCGGTCTGTATGTGGGATCCGAACCCTCGACGGGAGCGCCACCACGCTCCCAAGCAGCACACTGTAGCAGTGCGCCACCGGGCCGGCCCAATAGATGGGTTTTTTTTCAGTCCTCAAATCCCTTTTTTACTCAGGTAGTGATTTTGCCTTGTACTAATTAGATAAATTAAGACCTTTCAACAAGGGTTGTCATCTTTTTTCTTCCCTCACCTCTCTAAGCTGTAAATCCTCCTGTATCTCTGGTTGTTTATTCTGTCTACTTTGTAGGTTCATCCTCTTACCTTCTACCTGCTCACTTACTGTTGAGATTCCTCAAGGTCCAGTCCCTGGGCCCTCTTTCTTTCCTCTATTTTCTAGGTTTTTTCTTCTAAACCCAAAGTTAAAGTAACTATCTGCACACCATGATACCCAATTCTGTTTCCCCAGCTCAAACTATTTCTTTGACTCATATATCCAGCTGCCTCTTAAACATTGCCATGCAAATGTCAAATTCATCATATCCCAAGTGAATTTGTGATTTCCCTCCCTGGATCTGGCCCACTTCCAGTGATCTCTTTCTCATGATCAGTACCATCCACTATACACGTGTTACATAAGCCAGAGACTGAGATGTCCTTCTTATCCTAGACAGCTCCTTCTGCATCTCTCCCATACATCCCAAAAAAGTCTTTCCCATCACCACCTTAGACAAAGATACCATTATGTCTTATCATGGAGAAAAGTAGCCACTTAGCTGGTCTCTTCATAGTCCCTCTGCCGAGTCACAGCCAGAGGTTTTTTGTTTTGCTTTATTTTTTTCCTCCAAACTAAAAACTTTTGTTTAAAACCCTTTTGATTGCTTTTAGAATCAAGTCCAAAATCTTTAACAGTTTTAAAAATTGTAGCCTAAAAGGCTTTTTCTGTTTTCACATTGTCCTTAACTTATTTCGTGACTCCTTCATTATTAACTAGTTTCACTATTGCAAGAGCTATCGTCTAACAATCTGAAGTCAGGAAAGGTTATGTTTGATACTTTCTCACTTTCTTTTATCCATTATTTTCTTTCCATCATTCTGGTGTCTTGAACCTTTTCCACTTCTCTGGCTACAGGTATTGTCTTTGCTGGTAACAGTTGAAGGAGTAACTTACTCTGTTCCTCTCCAGTTTTTCTTGGCTGTTTGTAATAAAGCAGTCCAAGGTTCCCAGGAGCATTTTCTAAGCATGGGACAGGATGGCAATAAAAGAAGACTTGACATATTACCTCTTAAAGGTTGCTGACTACTACTGCATAATGCCATAAAATTGTTGTACAGTAATTTACTTAGCCATTCTCCTGTTTTGGATTTAGGGTTATTTCTTTTTATGGTGCTTTTTCTTTTTCTTTTTTCTTTTTTTAAACTATTAAGGGTTACTGCATTGATATAATCTTAGTACATTGTGACTTTTATTCTTTTGGATTATTTCCTTAGAATAAGTTCTCAGGAGTTGAATTAATTGTTCAGAGTGTAGAATCAAAGAATTTTTACGTTAGTTTCTTAGTTCTTCCTTTGAAGTACATGTTATATTCATACTTTCTTCTCTCTTCATTTTCATTGTCACAACCCTAATCTAAACTCTTTTTAAACCTGTGTTTGATTATTTACTGGCCCTTGCTCAACTTTTTACATTTTACAGTAAGACAAATTCAAAAATATTTTTCTTTTTAGACTTTNGTATGTGGGATCCGAACCCTCGACGGGAGCGTCACCACGCTCCCAAGCAGCACACTGTAGCAGTGCGCCACCGGGCCGGCCCAATAGATGGGTTTTTTTTCAGTCCTCAAATCCCTTTTTTACTCAGGTAGTGATTTTGCCTTGTACTAATTAGATAAATTAAGACCTTTCAACAAGGGTTGTCATCTTTTTTCTTCCCTCACCTCTCTAAGCTGTAAATCCTCCTGTATCTCTGGTTGTTTATTCTGTCTACTTTGTAGGTTCATCCTCTTACCTTCTACCTGCTCACTTACTGTTGAGATTCCTCAAGGTCCAGTCCCTGGGCCCTCTTTCTTTCCTCTATTTTCTAGGTTTTTTCTTCTAAACCCAAAGTTAAAGTAACTATCTGCACACCATGATACCCAATTCTGTTTCCCCAGCTCAAACTATTTCTTTGACTCATATATCCAGCTGCCTCTTAAACATTGCCATGCAAATGTCAAATTCATCATATCCCAAGTGAATTTGTGATTTCCCTCCCTGGATCTGGCCCACTTCCAGTGATCTCTTTCTCATGATCAGTACCATCCACTATACACGTGTTACATAAGCCAGAGACTGAGATGTCCTTCTTATCCTAGACAGCTCCTTCTGCATCTCTCCCATACATCCCAAAAAAGTCTTTCCCATCACCACCTTAGACAAAGATACCATTATGTCTTATCATGGAGAAAAGTAGCCACTTAGCTGGTCTCTTCATAGTCCCTCTGCCGAGTCACAGCCAGAGGTTTTTTGTTTTGCTTTATTTTTTTCCTCCAAACTAAAAACTTTTGTTTAAAACCCTTTTGATTGCTTTTAGAATCAAGTCCAAAATCTTTAACAGTTTTAAAAATTGTAGCCTAAAAGGCTTTTTCTGTTTTCACATTGTCCTTAACTTATTTCGTGACTCCTTCATTATTAACTAGTTTCACTATTGCAAGAGCTATCGTCTAACAATCTGAAGTCAGGAAAGGTTATGTTTGATACTTTCTCACTTTCTTTTATCCATTATTTTCTTTCCATCATTCTGGTGTCTTGAACCTTTTCCACTTCTCTGGCTACAGGTATTGTCTTTGCTGGTAACAGTTGAAGGAGTAACTTACTCTGTTCCTCTCCAGTTTTTCTTGGCTGTTTGTAATAAAGCAGTCCAAGGTTCCCAGGAGCATTTTCTAAGCATGGGACAGGATGGCAATAAAAGAAGACTTGACATATTACCTCTTAAAGGTTGCTGACTACTACTGCATAATGCCATAAAATTGTTGTACAGTAATTTACTTAGCCATTCTCCTGTTTTGGATTTAGGGTTATTTCTTTTTATGGTGCTTTTTCTTTTTCTTTTTTCTTTTTTTAAACTATTAAGGGTTACTGCATTGATATAATCTTAGTACATTGTGACTTTTATTCTTTTGGATTATTTCCTTAGAATAAGTTCTCAGGAGTTGAATTAATTGTTCAGAGTGTAGAATCAAAGAATTTTTACGTTAGTTTCTTAGTTCTTCCTTTGAAGTACATGTTATATTCATACTTTCTTCTCCATTTTCATTGTCACAACCCTAATCTAAACTCTTTTTAAACCTGTGTTTGATTATTTACTGGCCTATTTTTACGTTAGTTTCTTAGTTCTTCCTTTGAAGTACATGTTATATTCATACTTTCTTCTCTCTTCATTTTCATTGTCACAACCCTAATCTAAACTCTTTTTAAACCTGTGTTTGATTATTTACTGGCCTTTGCTCAACTTTTTACATTTTACAGTAAGACAAATTCAAAAATATTTTTCTTTTTAGACTTTTACTAAAAAAACTATAGAGATTCTTGGTTGCTTATTTTATCTAAACTCTGGGATTTTAAAGCCTTCTAAAGAAACAAATTCTTTAAATGGTACCAGAATTGTTTGTTTTCTATGTTTATTTCATTGAAGAAATATTTATAGGCCACTCTGCTGGGAGTACCTGGGTGAGCAAAATAGATAGGTTGAGCCAAAGATTAATCAAGTCCTCTTTGAGAAAGCTAGATTTAAGCTAAGTAGTGAAAGATGAGTTACGCAAGTTACAAATGAGAAAAGATCATTCCAAGCAAGATGAAACCACTTTTGTGAAGTCCGTGAGACTTGAAAGAATTTAGCGTATTGGAGGACCTCCTAGTTAGCTCCAGAAAACACTTAACATGGCAAAGACCATGTAAGTCATGGTAAGGAGTTTATATCTTGTTCTTAACGTGGTGGGAAGTATGTGAAGTATTTTTAACAGAGAAGAGACATAATCTAATTTTCTTTAAACACTGTTCTTTCTGGTTTGTGGAGAAAAAATTGCAGGGATGGCAAGAGTAGAAGCAAGAAAACCAATTTTTACAGTAATACCTACAGAGCAATAGAATGAAGGAAAACCAATAGAATAAGGAAACATACAGACCATCCCAGTGATTCCTGTAACTAACCTGTATTCAGTGGAAATGGTATACTCAAGTTTTTTCATGGTAAAGAACTACTGTATCTCCCATGTATAAGGAAAGAATTCACGAATTGGATTTGTTGTGTGGATTCATATAACATAACTTAATCTTTGTCGTCCACAGACTATTTAGTTTCTTTTTCTGTGGCCTGTATGAGAGAATGTGAAAATAGCTTTGTATTTGCTGTGAGACTTGTTTTTAAGTAATTTTACTTAGATACTTTTGCAAAAGTACCTATATGAGTTACAGTTTACTTTCTAATCATACTATAATTTATTCTTTAGGTCTCTCCATTTTTGCCATACTACTTTTTAGTTGTATATTACTAAATGTGAACAAAGAACTTTACTAAAAGCTTAAATCTTGATTTTAAATAGGATTTAAAAAATATTTTTACATGCTTTCACATCACCTCTTTTTATGAACTATAAATAGTACAGTTTAACACTTTTCTGACCTAAAGGCAGTCATGGTGTTGCATCAGATTTGTTTCATTTGCTTTTTCTTTTTCCTATGTAAATTTTTTTCTATCTGTATCTCATGGATTTTTAAATTTTATTATTCACCTACTTCTAAGTATTTTGAAGCTTTCACTGGTGTAAAGTATAATGAAGAAAAGAAAGTATGTTATAATAATGTGTTTTTTTCAGAAAGTGAAATTTGAAAATGTGACTTTTTTTTAATGCCCAAGGTTGGCAAATTTAAAGTCACAGGTCCTGATTTTTTAAAGACTTTTTTGTTCATAAATCTATTTAACTTTTTGCTGATTCATGAACTCCTTAAATCTGGAAATCGCTGGCCTTCTGTACTGGAGCTTGTGACCAGTTAGATTGTGTTACTCATGGCCACGTACTTTTAATTTTTCGATGAGAGACTTATTCAAAATCTCTCATCTTTTTCTAAAACTAGATCACTTTCTTTCTTACTCCAATCTCTCTTTGAAGCTTATGCCACCGGCCCGGTGGCGCACTGGATAGTGCGCCGCTTGGGAAGCGCGGCGGCGCTCCCGCCCGAGGGTTCGGATCCCACATACAGACCGGTTCCCGCTCACTGGCTGAGCGAGGTGCGGGAGCAACACCGAGGGTTGCAATCCCGTTGCCGGTCCCCGGTCCGGTACGGGGGCAACACTGAGGGTTGCGATCCGTTGCCGGACACGGAAAAAGACAAAAGACAAAAAAAAAAAAGACCTGCTGGTGGAATTGTAAACATTAGTTGTGACATTAGACAATAAGGATTCCCTAATCAATAGACTATTTCTAATTTGAAAGTTTACTGGCTACTTTTAAGAACCTGAGTGACTTTTAACTATATGTTAAAAAATGATTGCATTAAAACCTGTTAAACCAAGACCTTTATTGTGTCTTTATATAGTTGCCTATATAATAAGGAATTTTCCAAACTCTAGTTAGTGGCCCACTACATTTGGCCAGCAAAATTTCAATGTATCAGAAGATTTTAGACAATATGCAACTGGTAAACAGTGAGTTTGATTCTTGGTTCTTCTTCAGCCCACTCCTCCCAGGAGGATTATATCATAAAGTCCTTTTAAAACTTGGGCATTTGAGGAGATGTTTTCCACCTGCACATTTCATGAATTGCCTAATGTAGGAAATTTTGAAATTGAGAAGCGTTGCAATTATAGCCATATGACTTTCCAACTAAGGTGCCTAACTTTGAGACTTTTCTCTGTATTAGTTTTTAATATGCTTTTCTAAAGACTAGTAATTTATTAGATGGATAGGCAACTGTCATTGATTAGATTGTTTTTCTCTGCTTGGAGGTGTTTTTGTTATTTAAATAAATTGTCATTGTATAACAATTCATGCTCTCTTTTTAGGATATGGTGGTGGTTTTAATGAAAGAGAAAATGTTGAATATATAGAAAGAGAAGAATCTGATGGTGAATATGATGAGGTAAGTTGTATATTTGTATGCAGGTAGAGTACAAATTAGAAAAGTATATGTTAGAAGATATCTTAAATGTAAAGGAAAATTTTTAAATGTACCCTATTTTTGTAAGTACAATTTGAATCTATTACAGCAACTTACTATTTTGTGAGAATTCATAACTGAATTAAATATACAAAAATAATTTCTTAAACATCTATTAATTTAGGAAATATATTAATTTTAATGCATTTTCAGCTGACAGAAATATTTTGAAACTGTTTTTCTCTAGTTTGGACGTAAAAAGAAAAAATACAGAGGGAAGGCAGTTGGTCCTGCATCTATATTAAAGGAAGTTGAAGATAAAGAATCAGAGGGAGAAGAAGAGGATGAGGATGAAGATCTTTCTAAATATAAGTTAGATGAGGTAATTGATTTCCTTGTCCTATTTGTCTTATTTGGACTGTGACATAACATAAATGCTTTTCACAACCTTGGACCCTTGGTAAAGATATGTTCTGTGTATTCATTCATTCTCACAAAAGGTTTTAAGTTTCCACTCTGCCAAGCACTATTTTGTTCTGGAAATACAAATGTGACCAAGTTAGAACCACCCTTCTCTTAGGGAAGATATACATGGACAAGGTAATTTAGATAACAGTAATTTATGAAGACACATCATAATTAAAAGAGCTACTTTGGTTTTAGTGGGTCAGTAATTTCTGAGGAGGTGAAATTTGAGCTGAGGCTTAAATGATATGAGGAGCCAGATATAAGAGTTTGGATGAGAGCACATTCAGGCACAGAGAACAGAAAATACAGATTCCCTAAGTATAAAATAAGCCAGCAACTTTCAAAAAGTTATGTATAGACTAGTGTGATTAGAGCAGGAGCTGGGGGAGAATGTGATGGAGAGGGACAACACCCACTTCAGGTCTGGTGGTGTTTCTTCTGTGGGACCAAAGCGTAAGTTTTATGTAGATCCAGATCAAGGGTACTTTGGAGTCTGAGCATAAGAGGCCCTGAAATGCAACTAAAGAAGTAAACATGGAGCCAATTTGTGCCAATCTGAAGCCTGATTTGATTTAATGAGGTATATTTACCTGACAAATGAGGTATATTTATCTTACCTGTGATTCAGTATGATCACTGTAAGTATATTGAGATATTGGAGAGACAGAATGGATTTCTAAATTTAGGGAGACCAGCTAAGTGGTCACTATAATATACAGTCATGCATTACTTAACGATAGGTATGCATATGAGTTGCTAGTCAATTTTGTTGTGCAAAAGTGTATTATGAAAGAGAACAACAATGAGTTTGTCTATCATGCAATTGGCCACTAGTTCCATGAGTGTGGGCCCTCTAATTGTCTCTCTGTGCCTCACTTTCCTCATCTTGTTAAATGGGGATTAGAATAATACCACCTCCAGAGAGTTAGGAAAATTAAATTATAGGTAGGGATTGTGCCTGGCACTCAGCAAGCATTCACTGAGTGTTAGCTAACTGTTATTTACTATTATTTTGCCATAGGGATGGGCGGGAATTATTTTAAAATGCAAGAATTCTAAAGTAGGCAACAATCCATTCATTTGGGGTCAGGCCTAGTGTGTCAAATGTTTGGCTTTCCATCTTAAAGGTCTGAGCTACCTTTGAGAGGATCACTCTGAGTAAGCTAGGCACTCAGCATATTTTGCGGTAAATTTGTTTACACCAGTGTCTTAGACACATGAGTAATATGTCATACTACAATGTTAGGGCAACTGCAGCAGTCTCTAAACAATAGGAATTTTTCAGCTGCATTGTAATCTTATGGGACTGCCATCAAATATGCTATACTTTGTTGTCTGACTTGCCTTTATGTGACACATGACTGTAAAGGAACAAAGTTCCAAATTGAGACTAAGAGAGTAGAGTCAAGGATTGAAAATTCTTGACAGTTAATTTGGTAATGTATTATAACAGAAAAAGTGGAAATGAGTGGGACTTGTAGGTTAATGACTAAAATATCTGAGACAGTTGTCAAGTTTGTTTAGCTGAGATGAGGGACTTAATAGATGAATTTAAGAATTGAGGATGAATTTCCTGGAGGTATTGGTGAATGTGTATGGATTTATCCAGTACAAAGAACTATTTACCATTCTTAGCAGGTAACATTAATATCTAAATGTAATTGAATTTTTGTTAGGATGAGGATGAAGATGATGCTGATCTTTCAAAATATAATCTTGATGCCAGTGAAGAAGAAGATAGTAATAAAAAGAAATCTAATAGACGAAGTCGCTCAAAGTCTCGATCTTCACATTCACGATCTTCATCACGCTCATCCTCCCCCTCAAGTTCAAGGTCTAGGTCCAGGTAAACGGGCACAGGTCAAGGGTAACACCAGTCAAAATGTCAGTATCTAACTTCTTTATTTATAAATTTTGTTTTTCTTAACTAAACAAGCTTTCTTTATTTTGAAGATTTAATTCACTTCACCTTTTAAAAGGATTTTTATATCTTGGTGCCACACAATTGTTGTTCAGTATTTTAAAAAATGGAAAATCTTAAGAAAATACCTTAGTCTATTTTAGCATATCTTTTATTAAGGTAGACTTAAAAACTCAATTATTACGTATAGTGACGTTTAATTATCTGAGGAGATACCTTACATTTTGAAATTTTTAAGTAAACTGAAGATTTATATTTTCATCCAAGATGTTAAAGGCTATTACACAAATTTTCTAGGAATTACTCCATTGCTTGTTATAAAATGTTTTAATAATTTACTTTGGTATCAGTATTCTGAATAAAGGAGCAGATTCAGCCATAATATTTTTACTGACTTAATACTTATAATTTTGAGATGTCTAGGAATAAATTTAATGGAAGACCCAGTTGGTGTTGTAATTGAATATTCTTGTGTTTGGTAATGTTAAATATATATTCTCTGATTTTATAGTTAATAATACTTTAGGTGAGAAAAAGCAATTCCTTAAGTAAGCAATATTGTCTTGAAAAACCCTGTTCACAGTTAAATGGTACCATGGGCCATGAACTTTCAGGCTTTATAGTACTCAATTAATGCATATCTAATTGTTAACTGAGTACTTAACAATTAGATATGCATTAATTGAGTACTATAAAGCCTGAAAGCTTAAAAATGTGATTTTATAAAGAGTAATTTTGAGATAAAAATGTAATTATCTTTTTCTACAGGTTAAGGGACAAATTAAATGTGTGAATTAGATTAATGAATTTTATTTCATTTGAAATGTTAAGAATTCATATGGACGGTATCTCCCCTTATGCTGTATTTTTCAATAATATAATTGCCTAACAGTGACAGAATTATTACATATTTTCTCTTTAATTCTCTAAGCTTTGAGTTTATAGAAAAGTCACAGTGGTCATATATACACTCATAAACATATAATAAATATTCATACTAGCTATAAACTGAGGAAATAAGGGCTTTATAAGAGAAAGCGATTTCAGAGAAGTTAAATATAAACTGCAGTATACTGTCTTCTTGGATGTGTTAGTCCTGGATGACTTCTAATTATTTGTGGACCATAAAGTATTCAGTGTCTTTCCAATAAATGCTCAGTGTATGTACAATTGAGTAATTTAGAATAATTTAATCAAACTTGGAAAGTGATAGTTGATTTTTTTTTCTTTTAGTTAACCTTAAGTTTTGTTATTAAAACAAAATTAAAAGTTTATTTAATTTAAATTACTGTTTTGAAAATATGTATCTTATATAGTTACTTTTTTATGTGAAAATGAACTCTAATGAATATCTTTTTTTCAGTGTTCATATCACAAAGTTCAATTAAGTGGTCCTGGAAAAAAAAATCCTTCCATGTTGTTCCAGGTCCCGTTCAAGAAGTTCTTCCAGTTCGCAGTCAAGATCTCGTTCCAGTTCCAGAGAACGTTCGAGATCTCGTGGGTCGAAATCAAGGTGAATGAGGTAGCATCTCTCTGTAAAGCAGAGAGAAAAAATATTTAAAGGCTGCAGAAGATGTTGCTGCTTCCCCCCGCCCCCTTATTTTGCTTCTACTTGTCAATTTTATTTTAGCATTAGAAAACTAATGCACTTGCCTCAGCTTAATTTTCTCACCATGAAATGTTTTCATTGCCAGCAATGTGCCAAGACATTCCCATGATTGAATTAAGAAGGCTCTTTTGCATTATGGAAGCTTTGTTGTTTGGGTGCTAAAATGTAATAAAGTAAGAGGATGAAGCCAACTAAGTCTTATCACCAGATCTCTAATATATTAAGATTATGTTTGCAATAGTAGTTCAAATAAAATTAGATATGCAAATGAAAGGATTACTCTATTAATAAGAGGAAGAAAAATAATCCTGCCTCAAACCAGGTTTTGTTTTGTAAGGCAATTGTTTCAATATTCGCAGAAGCAACTTTGCCATTTATATCAGATAAAGTTTCTAGGGAGCGCTGTGTACTTAATCTTACTTCTCTCAAATGTAAGGCAGAATATTTTAAACAGTATTTGTAAAACCGATACCCCTCTTAAAACTAAATCAAGAAGTATGATTGGTTAGTTTAGGTAGTGTGTGGTCTTAACTAAGCATTGTTGTAAACTCTCAGTTTGCATTTAGTCATACCTTTAGAGGGAAACATAATTTGTAAAGAAGTAAATGCAACACTAGTTTTTGCTCCTTTGCAAAGTTTTTCTGTATTTAGTTAAAATGTGCTGACTTTGTTTTTCAGTTAATTTATTGATGATCTACTAAAGATATCTAACATAAATAAGGAAATGACTAAATTCCACTTGTGTGGAAATGCAAACTGCCTCTTTTGATAAGAAATCCTTATTTACTGGCTTGTTCAAGACAAATCTAACATTAGAGGGCAACTGCAATTTAACCACATTAAGGAGAAAAGAATGATACGGACACTTGTATTGAGCCAGTACAAAACAGAGAACAAGTGCGTTTCTTATGTATTATCAATATTTTAGTCATTTTATTTTAGTGCTTTTTAGGTGAAGATCCTTAGGTTCTGCTATTCCCTTTGATAACTACTGTAGTTAAGGTTTACAGAACAGCCTTCATATTTTTTCAAAACATTTTTCATTGCTTGTAACTTTCCAAAGAATTCTCCTTTTGGGCTTTCTGGTGTTATTTTAAGCCCAAAGGTGAATTTTTTGGGAAGTTTGAGCTAAATTCCTTCAACAAAAATATATAAATGAAGAAAAAAAAATTGCATTAAAGCATTTGCATATTTTCCATTTCTTCCTGAAACATGTGAATGTCAACACTTCATACTTCATGAATAGTGGTCCTTCATAAAAATAGGTATTGTAAATATAAACCACGTTTTAAAGTTACTCATTTTATTTTGCTTTCAAAATTTAGCAATTTATACAGTTGCTGTTCTTTCTTATTCCTGACCCACATCCCTGGTTTTTCTGTAGCATCTTAACTAATGACTTGCATAATTCCACAAGGAATTATTATGTTTAATTTACTCAGGAAGTTGTATATTAGACATATATTTTCTCCCCAATGGAAGGATGTATTTTCTAAACATAAAGTTGTGCAAATGCAGTTACCTTTTGATTTTACAATTTATGTATATTTTAAATTGAAAAATCTTAAGTTAAACAAAAAAAAATTCTTTTTTAATACAGTAAGCTTGTTTTTAATTAACAAATGATGAATACTTATCTTAGAATTTTTAAAAGAGATGAAATTAAAATAATTGTATTTAAATAGAATGTTTTCATGGTTGATCCAGAAGTCTTCTGTTGAGTAAGCAGTAAGTATTCCTTCTTATAAAATATTAATAGTTAAAAATCCTGTTTGTTTATTTTTGGAACTATCTGTTAACTAAACAATTTTCCTCATTTCTTCTTTTAATGAAATGTTTGATTTGTTTCTCAATCAATGAAGATCCAGCTCCAGGTCCCACAGGGGCTCTTCTTCCCCAAGAAAAAGATCTTATTCGAGTTCATCATCTTCTCCTGAGAGGAACAGAAAGAGAAGTCGTTCTAGATCTTCTTCATCTGGTGATCGCAAAAAAAGACGAACAAGATCACGGTCACCCGAAAGGTTTGGGTTTCTGTAGAAATAAGAATGGGTGTTCTTAAATGTGTTTAGTAGATAAACTAAACTTCCTTACTCAAGGGTTAGTTTTTTGTTATCTCCTTTGTTCCAACTTTAAATTACTTTTCAACTTTGAACTTCAAAAAAACATTACTTTGTTTTAGCCTTTTTACTTTGATCAGGTTGTTGAGAAAAACTGTGGATCAGACCACTCTGATCATTTTATTGCTTAAATCTTTATTTCCGTATATACCTATTATAGCCAACTCTCGGTTATTTCTGTCTCTTAGATTACAGTTCAGAAGCTGTATGTTGAAGTAATTTACAGGTTGATTATTATATTAATTTATGCTATTTTAAATTAAATATTAGAAATCTTAGGAAGTCTAGAGTATCTAACAAAAAATTAACTTGCAGATCATTAAGAATCTGCCCTCATTTAAATATCTGTAAATGCATTTTCACGGCAAATTGTTTTATACCCTTTATCTATAAGGAAATTTTTCCTTGTAGATAATACATTTTTTTATCCTGTAGTCCAAATCCATTGTTTTTATTTATTTATTTTGAAAAAGACCTTTACTGGGTTACTTTATCTGTATTAACATTTTTTACAATTTGAAGAGTGCAATTGTCATCTCCCAGCCTTTTCTGCAGGAGGCTAATTACTCAATTTCATTAACCTTGATTCTCAGTGTTTAATTATATAGTCATTTTAATGGCTTCATTTGTAATCATTGCACATTTCCTATGTCCAATTAGTTTGTTTAAATAAGGATTATGTAAAGTCTGATAATTGCTGGGTTCAGTGGTAGGATTTCTTCATGATTCCTACTTATACAGAATGATTAGTTTTGCTTCCTCACATTTTGAAGTTTAAATATTAAGATTACACACAATTAGTCTTAACTTCTGTGCATTTGTTTCTTTGTAAGAAAATTACTCTGTACTTGAATGAAATGCATTCTGTTGCTTTCTTACCACTTCTGCAAATTTTTATCTTAGCCACATATAATCCCCCTAGTTTGTTGTCATCTAAACTTAATGAACATGTTCTCTATTCCATAAGCCAGGTGATTGGTGAAAACACTAAACAACCCTGAGCCCAGGGCCAACCCCTACGGAACACCACTACTTTACCCAGGTTGATATTGACTTATTCATACTAGCTGCATGAATATAATAGCCCTATAATTAATTGTGCAATCATTTTATGTGGCCTAGATTTCCAAAACTTAATTATTTATGAATATATTTTCTTATACACTATCAGAAGCCTTGCTGTGTATCTGTTTTACATAGAGTTACTGCACTTTCTACGGTGTGTCAACGAGATTGTTTTAGTCACACTTTATTACCAAGTTTATATGCCTGTTTTGTACATTATCTGTACTTTTACACATTTTTCGCAAGGCTTTCCTTCACTACCTTAAATAATTGAGAGGTGGCTATATTTTGAAATGAGAAGATATTTTTAAATTGTAGAGAATTTTAAACTATATATATGTCATTACTGGGCTCACAACCAAAGTCTAAACACCAAATAATTTTATGTGTGTTAAGTTTGTATCTTAGTTTTTAATTAATCCTTTTGCCAGCATCATGGTGTTTAGTGTTTTTTTTTGTTTTGGTTTTTTTTTGTATTTTCAGTCTTAAGAATGAATGCTGAAATCTACCTCTAACTTACTAGATTGCCTGCTTTCTCCTTTATGTCTTACAGGCGCCACAGGTCATCTTCTGGATCGTCCCATTCTGATTCCCGTTCAAGTTCAAAAAAGAAATAATGTATTAAAATTTACATCTTTAAAAAAAAAATTCAGTACAGTGCATGAAGCATATTTTTTAAGAAGTTGGTGTCTTACTTGGTCAGAAGTGCTAAATCTGCTAGTAGAGGTGCATGCCTTTCATTGCTTTTCAAAACAATACAGCTGTGTTTATTTGTGAAATTAAATAGCATTTTAAGCCATAATGTCCCAAATGCTTAATTTGTCCTTCGTTATTTACAACCATTTGCTTCATTTGAAACCATCTTAGTTTTAACAAAGTACTTTATTTCCTAATTTAAATTCTTGTTTTTCTCATTTCCAAATATATTCTGTGTATTGGCTAAGACAGAACTACCTAGACTTGCCTGAATTGGGGGCATGGAGGCAAGACTCTGGTAAACTCGTTGGAAACAACCTGTTCATGTTAATCTGGGGAAAGAAGTCAACCTGTTTATGTTGTTAATCTATGTCAAATAATTCTTACCAGAAAAAGCTAAACTGAGTTGTAAAACAGCCTCCTGGAAACTGCTTTATTTTGAAATTTCTTGTGCTAAGGGTGCCTTAGAATTATTGTCTCTCTTTTATCCAGCTTTATACTTTTTTGCATCATCAAACAATGCAAAAGAGTCTTGTGAATTGCAGAAGGAAAAAGTGTTATTTTTCTTTCTGACACATAATTTGGGACAAGAAAGAAAGTCTGTTTATCTCTTCTCTACTGATATGGTTGCCTAATAAGAAAAAAATCTTATTTCAAAATGTTTATCTTACTGTTTTAAGAATTTTTGTGTGATATCCTGAAAATCCAGTTATTAAATATGATAGGGTAGAACAGGCTAAATCATAGTTAATGAGCAAATTGAAGAAAGCTTTTGAAGTATATTTCTCTTTTGGTAAAAGGCCAACAAATGTGAATTTAAGTGAACATTTGCCTTGAGATGTTTAATTGTAAACACTGCATAAAATTTTCTTCTGAATAACAAATGAATGCTTATTTCTGCATGATGTAAGCAAAAAATCATTATTTTTCTTATTTACTTGAAATAATTTATGGCTTAAAATGCTTTCAGAGTTTGTTTTATTTCTAAAAATCTGGTCACTTGAGCTCCATTTTGTTTTCTGGTTTAAAAATAAAGAGATTTCTTTTAACAGTATCTTCAATGACAATGCAAGGTAAGTATATTAAAGGAAATCAACAATTGTGCTTGGGAACTTTTTGTTATGGGGTATTGATTTCTTTTTATTGTTTTTCTTCTTCCCCCATTCCCCTACATTGTCTGCTGCAATTTAAATAAAAATTGAAACATTTTAAGGTATTTAGTAGATAGACCAAACAAAATTATATTTGTTTTTTATTTTGAAGTGTTTTTCTCTTCAGCTGATCTAAAAATGAAAACAAAGTATCTTATGTAGAAATATTTTGATAATATTTTTACAGTGAGCTTTCCCATGTTTTTATGTCTTATTTTTCTTTGCTACGTTATTGTAGGTTGCACAAGAACTTTTACTCTCTTGTAATTGTGCCTCAGACTTTTTGAAAGTCTACCTTCTAAATTGCCCAGATGATCTTCTAGATTCTACATGTTACCATTGGTTTATTCTTGTGCTTTCTGTATTTAGAACTTTGGCTGTACTAAGCAAATATAAGGTTATAAATTTAGCTAATAGTTGTTTACAGACAATTCAGATGATTATGATTTGATTTGGTTTAACTAAGTTGTACTAGTTCATTTCATAAGGAAATGATGCTGTAGACAAATGTAAATAAAGTCTGTGAGTCAAGCATCAAGTGGTGTTTGTTAGAAATAAACTAGAGATTTTTAAGCTCTGATCTAATGTTTATTTTTAAGCTAATTACAATTTTGTTTGTTACTTCTGATTGTTTACTTATTAAGCTCTTTGTATTCACTTACATTCTATATATGAGTGCTTGATTTGAAACATTCCAGGGTGGGGGTGGGAGAAGGAGGTCAGAGATTAATTGGGTAGGAGACACGGGGAATAATCGCAATTTGTGGTAATGGGCATGCTGATAGTATTGACTTAGCCATGACATCTTGGGCACAAGTAGTGACAGTCAGCTTTGTACCCCGTGAGTATGCAAAACCAATAAAAAGAAAAAAAAATAGATTATAACCCAGGGGATAAAATAAATATCTATGAATCCATATAGAAAGAACGAGGGGAATAGAAAAGTCACCCTCAGAACACCACAGCAATAATTGCTTCAGGCAAGATTAACTGACGTGTATGCATATGTCAACATTCATCAAATTTTACACTATACATATGTGCAATTTATTGTACATCAATTATACCTTAATAATTGTGGAAAATGCAAAAAGTTAAAAATAAAAGTAAAAATTTTTCCAAAGCCATGATCATGATCACTGCAACCTTGGGTATTCAGAATTTTTAATTGTGACTTTTTTTTTAATGAGTTCTCTCAAATTATTTGACTATTTCCTACCAGAACATTACGTACCTTATTCCATGCAGTAAAATAGCATATCATAGTGTGCTTCCTGAATTATTTAACTTTTACTTTATAGTACTCAAAAACTGCCCATTTAACAGCTAAGTTCTAGGTTTCCATTTGGAATCCTTTTATTTAAACAATATTGAAAGATATCTGGTAATAGACCAAGGTCAGAGCAATCTCTAAATACAAGACCATCTCTAGGCACAATTACAAAGGTTAGTTAGGTCTTTGTTTACCATCTCATCTCCCTTTTTTGCTGTCCGGCAGCCATAGCCAGTGTAGTAGATGTTGAGAAAAAAAGGGAATTTCTCCACTCTGCCCCCTATCTTTCACTTAAGTATTTGTTAAATGTTTTTTTAAAATAAAATTCCCTCAAAGCTTTCCTGACCTAGAAATTATTTTTTATTTCTGGAAAATAGAGTGGACAGTTTTAATTAAAAGGTAGTTTAATATATAGAGTAAGTGATATAAAGGCATTATCTTTTGTGATTCTCTCTATGATTCTGGGAGGTTATTTACTATTGCATAATCTGCTGCTTTACAAAAAGAAGGCTTGAAGCACAAGGAAGTTAAAAACTTGCCCAAGGGAGCCCCAGGAGTACTCTCTCAGTATATGTCTAATAAAAATCAAATAACCTCTTGGAAAAAATAAATGTGAAATTGTTAAGTCTAATAGTCAGATTTTTTTAATGTAGTTATTTGGTAGAGAGGGTATAGTTTCAGTTAATTATAGGGAGATGGGTAAACAGACACACTATTTGGAATAAATTTATACTTACAGAAAAGTTAAAGATTTTCTGTAGAGTTGTCATATACCCCAACTCAGTTTCCACTGTCGTTCACATCTTATATTGCCATGTGTATTTGTCAAAACTAAGAAACCAACATTGGTATATTACTATTAATTACATTCCAGATTTTATTTGATTTTTATCTTTTTTTTTTTTAGTGTATCTGTTCCATGATGCATTCTAGAGTATCTCACATTGTATGAACTGTCATATCTCCCCAATCTCTTCTGGTCTCCAATAGTTTTTTATTCTTTCCTTGCTTTTGATGGTTTTGACAGTCTCAAGGAATACTGGCCAGGTATCCTGTAGAATGTCTTCTACCCCATTCTGGATTTGGCTCATTTTTCTTGTCGTTAGACTGGGGTTATGGGTTTCGGAAAGAACACCACAGAGGAAAAGTGCCTTTCTTATCACATCCTATGAGAGCTATTTGATATCCATATGACATCATTGGGTATGTTAATCATCACTTGGTGGAGTTTGCCTGGATTCACAATTGTACTTAGAATTTTTCCTTTACCCTATTCTATTCTTTTGTAGCCAGTTTTACTAACTATAGCCCACCTTCAGAGTAGGAATGGGGGAATTAACCTCCACCTCCTGTTGGGGGTCAGTATCTACGCATATTTGTAATGCTGTAAGAAAGATTTGTCTCTTTCCGTTTGTTTGTATCTGTATGTACTCATGTTTATTTATTTTACACTTGTTATTTATTAAGTTACTCAAATTGTTCCAGCTTTGGCTATTATGAGTTCTTTCAGATTGGCTCCTGTATCCACTGACCTGCCTCCATTCTCCAGTAGGAGGGAAAGTAATAGGGGAGGGAATGGGATCTACAGCTATGGTGCGGTTCAGAGCTTGAACCTTAAATAGGACCCTTGACAGTAATATTATCAGGAGGAATGAGTTCAGGTAGCATTAGAGCCAAGTTTACAGTCACCGAGAATGACCAGTAAACACTTCGTTGTGTTTTTCCCAGCCACATTGAATTACATGTGTGCTTAGATAAGGGTGGAGGGTGTTATAGCATTACACACAGATATATATAAAAAAAAAGTATTAAGTCATACTTCCTAAATGTCTAGCAAAATGAAAAGTACTGGAGTAAAAACTTCACAGTAACTAGGTAAAATACTGAATACTTCAATGAATAATTAAAAAATATATCTAAAAAATTTTGAGGAAAGTTATACAACTTAAGGAAGTAAAAAAGTACATGGACTTGAAGCTAAAACTATATGACAACCCCTTAACTTCAGTTTAGTGGGGGAAAACTTGTAAAATTCTTCAGGTTAGACATAAGTCTGATAAAATGGAAACAACCAGTCTTTCCTTAATGAGAGGCAAACTCTAGGAAATTGACTTGGTAGTCTTGAAGGACAAGTTTATAAATGAGTAGGTGAGCTAAGGGTATTCTCTGCAAAAACTGAAGATTTGATCATGTTTTTAGGGAATCGAACATGCTGTGGCTGTGGGAAACCTTGGAGGAAGAGAAGGAACTTCCTAATAATGCCTAATACTGTTGGATTTAAACTGGAACGTATTGAACACTGAACGCAGTGATTAAAGACCTTAGTGTCGAATTCAGAACAAAGGGAGTTTTGTGTCTCCCCCCTAAATGAAACATGTCCGCTGTCAGTAAGGTCATCACAAAGACAGTACCTCCAACCTGAATGTAATATGAAGTAAAGTTTGGTTTAATGGATATGATCCAGTGGTAGAGATGGCGTGACATTTAATTTCTTTCTATTTCTTCCACTGGAGTCAAAGTGCCTGACTTGAACTTTTAGTTAATGGTATGACCCTGGGGTTGTTCACAAGATTGCATTGCTGTATGTCCTACTCAAATCATGTCTCCTACTCATTGTTACTGATGCATTAGAATCACAGAAAAGGAAAAATCAAAAAAATTTAATTCATTCTATACTGGAAATGAAGACCACATCAGTACTTCTCAGGCTGCATTCCCAGTGCTGCAGTATCTGTGGTATTAAAACCGTAGGATAAAAGACTGCTAAGAAGGAAGAAATAATAGAATAATGAAATAGTTATTGTTTTGGTTTTCCCCAAATTAATGATAATGATAATGGGTTTAAACTCAGCTGTCTCAAAGCATTTCATACCATAGTGTCTAAGGCAAGTACCTGAGCATGATCATCTACATTTTGAGGCAAATGATAACTGACATGAAAAATACATTTTAACATAAGTTTGGTAAACTAATTGGATAGTAGCAAACCTATATTTTCTCTACATTTGAAAGACTGTCAGCAAAAGGACGGAGGGGAACAAATGTCAGTTATAGTTAATTCAGATACAAAAGAAAATTGTTCAGGGATTTCAAAGACATTATTTAGCACTCTATGTTAAGCTCATTGGGAATTCATTTTAGGCACTACTGTTTTCTGTATCACTAATCAATGCCATTTTTATTTTATTTGCTGGAGCTGTTTGAATCAATATGATCTATTTTTATAAAATTTTTTTATCACAGAGTGAGCACACGACTTATAGAAGTAATTTGGCAGTATCTGAATAATTAGAATGTTAGCAGTGTCAACATTCAGAACACAGAAAAGAGTTAATTCATGCTAGGTAGTGAACTAATTAGTGATTAGTGATTAGGTAGTGAAATGGGTATTTTAATGGATAACTTGAAACGGAAACAATTACAGTTTCGTGCTATGATGGGAGTAAAAGGTGTAGGGGTGGGTAGATACTACTCTAGTCAGGGTGGTGAGTGGAAGACCTAAGGGTCAGGCAAATTATCTTTAGGAGCAGAATTCATAAAAGATCTGTGGCATGATAGAGTAATCCAGTAATTAGAGATAATAGGGGACAGTTCATAATGATAAAAGTTTAATTTAATAGATAATAATCATAAACTTGTATGTACTTAATAACAGAACTTCAGAATCTTGATGAAACAAAGGACAAGTAGACCTACATAGAAATCATAAATAACATGTCTCAGTAATTAAAAACAAAACAATATGGAGCTTATACAATATCATCTGAATAGCGTAATTGACCAATTTGAATTAATAGGTGATTTTAAACT